ATGCAAAACTTGTGGCAGCAGCAATTGGGATGGGATGAAATTGTGTCTTCCCATCTACTTACAAATTGGGAAAAATTTTACGATCAATTACAATACGTAAAAAATATTGTTGTTCCTAGACACGTTAGTTCAGTAAATTGTATTGATATCCAACTGCATGGATTTTCAGACGCATCTATTAAGGCATACGGTTGTTGCATTTATCTCAGATCAACTGATTCAAATGGAAACTGTTTCACTAAACTCATTTGTTCTAAATCTCGAGTAGCACCCTTAAAAACAATTACACTTCCTCGTCTAGAACTATGTGGTGCACTACTTTTATCACAACTAGTTCAGAAAGTACTCAAGGCTCTCAATATGGATATTCATTGTTTTTATTGGTGTGATTCAACAATAACTTTATCGTGGATAAATTCAGAACCAAATTCTTTAAATATATTTGTAGCTCACCGAGTAACAGAGATTCAAAAATATACTAAATGTTGTCAATGGAAACATGTTAAAAGCGATGAAAATCCTGCTGATATCATTTCACGAGGAACAAGTCCTCTATTTTTATCAAAATCTGAGATGTGGTGGAAGGGTCCTCCATGGCTTTCTTTAAAGACTTCCGAATGGCCATCAGGATCATTTCAAAGGTTGAAAGATATTCCAGAAAAGAAAACGATTATCGTTACTTTGAGTTCCCAAGTACTAGATCAAAGCATATTTACACTTTTTTCAAGTTTAACTAAGCTATTTAGAGTAACTGCATATTGTTTGAGGTTTATTCAAAATTTGAAAAATAAAGAAAAGGACTACTCATCTCTGAAGATTTCTGAAATTGAAAATGCTACAAGGGCTCTTTTGAAAATAGTACAAGGGGAATTTCATCAAGAAATTGATTTTTTAAAAAACGGGAATCAGATTCCTCATCAGAGCAAATTATTAAGTCTTAATCCATTCGTGGATAATCACGGAATACTCAGAGTAGGGGGAAGATTGATAAAATCTAATCTTAACATTTACCATAAACATCCAATAGTTCTACCGAGTAATCACTTGTTCACAAAATTGGTTATAGAATATGAACATATCAGACATTTACATGCTGGAAATCAGACAACTTTAGTGGCTGTTAGACAAAGGTATTGGCCGTTAAACGGTCGTAATACGATTCGGAAAATTTTACGCAAATGTATAATTTGTTTCAAGGCACGACCATTAAGTAGTCAAAATTTGATGGGTGATCTTCCAGAAAATAGGGTCAAGCCTTCGAGGCCGTTTCTTATAGTCGGAACGGATTATACTGGGCCATTTTTGCTAAAAGATGGAAAAACCAGAAATCGTAAACTGATAAAATGTTATGTGTGTATTTTTATTTGTTTTGCTACAAAAGCTGTTCATATTGAATTAGTTACAGAGTATACTACGGCTGCATTTTTAAACGCTCTCAAAAGATTTGTTTCCAGACGTGGTATATGTAGGAAAATATTCAGTGACAATGGTACCAATTATATAGGTGCAGCAAACGAGTTGAAAGGCATTTTTAAAAATCTTGAAAATGATATTTCCTTCAAGAATTATTTATTTAACAATTCAATCGAGTGGAAATTCATTCCTCCTCGGGCACCAAATTTTGGTGGAATATGGGAGGCAGCAATAAAATCTGCCAAATTTCATATGAAAAGAATATTATCTAGAGTACCTCTAACTTATGAAGAATTGTATACTGTACTGACTCAGGTGGAGGCAATGCTCAATTCGAGACCATTGGCACCGCTTACTAGTGATCCGAATGATTTAGCTGCTCTGTGTCCGAGCCATTTCTTGATTGGGGAAATGTTGACTTCTGTTCCACAAGAGGATGTATGCATTATACCAGAAAATCGACTTAATCACTATCAGAAGCTTCAACAGCTTACCCAGCACTTCTGGAAACGTTGGTCGTCAGAATACCTCTGCCATCTGCAGCAGAGAACAAAGTGGAGACGTTTATCTGAGCAGGTGCAGATTGGTCAGTTAGTTTTGATAAAGGAAGACTTCGTGCAGCCATTGTTATGGAAATTGGCGCGCATTATTGAAATTCATCCCGGCATGGACGATGTTGTTCGGGTTGTGACACTGAAGACACAAGAGGGTACCTTGAAACGTCCAGTCAACAAGATATGTGTATTGCCCTTAGAAGAATGTACCACATAATTCATTGTCTGTTATATTTGTAATGTAATTATTTATTTAGTATTTTGAAAGTTATAATCTTTCAAGGGGGCGGCATGTTTGGTACTTTGTACTAGGTCAAGTAGTTAAGACACCATGTATGTCCAGTACTTTACCTGTATGATCCTGTATAATGGTAGTTGCTAGTGGTATTACCCTATATAGGATAGGATTTCATTTGTTGTTATCATGACGACGTGTTGTTGAAACATAAGATTGAATCAATAAAGTTGGGAGAGAAATTGCAATCGGTTGCAATTTCCCTTTTATTCTTCATATCATATCAGTTTTTATTCAACGATCGAAATACAGTCCACACTCATCACCAAGAGCATCGAACACCATTGGCATCAATTCCGGCGTTCCACAAGGATCAATTTTGGCACCAACATTATTCCTGCTTCATATCGATGATCTGTTGGGAGTAACAACTTGCCCCATCCACAGCTTTGCAGTTGATAGTACCCTCCATACTGCGTTCTCTTACAGAATTCCCATTTCTTCCCAGGAAACTAAGAACTCATGGCGCAGGCAGGTCAACGCTGTCAATGAAGACCTTGCTGAAATCACAGCCTGGGAAACCAACAACCTACTTGAATTCAAAGCCACCAAAACTCAAGCCTGTATTTTCTCTAGAAGGGCGGAACTCAGTATGCCCGATATTGTAATGTCTGGCTCCACCATCCCCACCAAGCCCACCATATCTATGCTCGGTATTTCCATCAGCAACACTCTTTCATGGGATAATCATGTCAGTTCCATCGCAAAAGCTGCTTCACAAAAACTCGGATTCTTGTTCCGTGCGAAATGCTTCTTTACACCTCAACAGCTTCTCATGATCTACAAAGCGCAGATTCGGCCTGTTCTAGAATACTGTTCCCACATATGGGGCTCAGCACCAGAACATATGCTGATGCTCTTAGATTCCATCCAGAGAAGAGCCATTCGCCTGGTGGGTGACGCCACACTCACTCACTCTTTGACATCATTGGAACACCGTAGAAAGGTTGGCGACCTTTCACTTTTCTATCGATACTTCCACGGGAAATGTTCCTCGGAAATCTCTGCCATCATCACTTTACTAGCAATACCAGTCAGACGAACTAGACAAGCCCAGTCAGCACATCCTTTAGTTGTCAACCTCGAAAGATGTTGAACAGCACTTTATCAAAACTCCTCCATCAATAGAACGGCTAGGCTCTGGAATTCATTGCCTGTGGATGTATTCCCAACAACATAGAATCTCCAGAAGATCAAAAAAAATTTCAATATAGGGATTTCCTTTCGTGCGCTCCAAGCGATAAAAAAAAGCGTATGATATCATTTCAATTCAAACAGGACATTATTGTTATTTGTTTTATATTAGTGATTAAAAGACTGATTACTTGGATTGCACAGATTTTATATACAGTGTGTCCACCTTAAGGACTTACCACTCCTGTAAAATCGTTATTATTCGACCAATTTCAAGAAACTTTTTTTTGTTGGATAGGTATTTGAAATGCCCATCCAACGAGAGAGTGATCTAATTCTTGGACTGTTATCGTGGCCAACTGCGACAAGTTTCAATGACCCATATTCCAGAAAGTACTATTAGGGATTTTTTTCCACAAAACTTGATGATGGATTCTGAATCAGTACCACTTGAAATATACCTGTACCAATTTTCATCATCATAAAACACAGGGTGTCCGAAAAAACGAATCATCATTTTCTTCAAATAGGTGATCAGCAAATGTAGTTCTGTGTTTTTTCTAGAGAGAAATAATCACAAATTATCATTGAGAATTATTTCAAATATACATGTACCAATTTTCGCCATTTGAATATACAATGTGTCTGAGAAAAAAATTAAAAAGGATAGGGAAGCAATATTTTTCGTCCTGATAATTCTTCACTCAAAATAAAAAGATGAATCAGGATCACTTGGAACATACCTGTACCGATTTTCATCATCATTAAACACAGGGTGTTCGAAAAATCAAATTAATATTTTTTTTTAGTTGATGAAAAAATATTGCCTACTTTTTCTTTTTAATTGTTTTCTCATACACATATCATATTTTTAAATAATGCAAATCGGTACAGATATGTTCAAAGTGATCCTCAATAATAATGTGTCATCAATTCTTCTCAAAAATACCACAATACTACATTTTCTGATCACCTATTAAAAAAAACATAATTCGTTTTTTTGGACACCCTGTGTTTTATGATGATAAAAATCATTGAAGGTGTTTTTCAAGTGATCGTGATTCAGAATCCATCATTGTTTTTTGTGAAAAAAAATCCCTAATAGTACTTTCTCAAATATGGGTCAATAAAGTTGGTCGCAGTTGGCCACGATTACAGTTCATGAGTAAAATCTCTTGTTGGATGGACATTTCAAACACCTATCCAACAAAAAAAAGTTTTTTGAAATCGGTCAGATAATAACAATTTTACAGGGGTGGTGAGTCCTTAAGGTGGACACACTGTATATCGACGCCAAAGGATGTATGCTGAAGTCAATTCATTCCACCTCCCACGGGAGTTAATATTTTTTTCCTCCCGTGGGAGTAAATTGACTACTTTGTTTATTTAAATGAGGGAGCAAACGCCTACTTTCGACTCAGTGAGTAGATAGAATAGAATATCCTTGACATACAGTGAAGAATGACATAAAACATCTTCACGGTGGGGTTATCACATATCTCTGCAGCCTGTTTCATGAGATTTTTGTTTCAGAAAATCGGTCATCAGATTAACAATTTGCAGGGTCTTGCAAGTCAAAATCGCACACACTGTATGTTTCTTACCTGGACTAAGCTTCCTGGAGTGATGGCGAACTTGTATACGATGTAAACGGGAATGCAAAGTATGGAGGATGCTGTGAGAGCGTATCCGACTTTGAGACTCCATTCCGGATACGCGTACTCCGTACCAAGCATCTGCTCATGGCTGAGAAGCGAAAACACGAAAATAATCTGGAAATAAAAGCACTTCAGACTCGTACAAATCGAGGTAAGGAAATTGGAGATATCATGTCAAGTAATACGAAGTAGAAAGTATAAAAAAAAACAAGGTATCGCGCTCGATCGTCCGTGTGCAGTGTGCCTTCTGTTTGAGGCTCGATGTCGCTACTCGTTACCGAATTACTAGTCGATCTCGAAACAACGCTTGGGTTGATACATTTCAGGACGTCATGAATGTGTCCATGATGAAAAGGGGGTCTCAGAATACTATCCTTTTTCTTCTTCTTCTTCTTCGAAGCTTGTAGGCCTTCTTATTCGGGCCCATCAGCTGGGTATGCCGACTCACTTGGAGAAGTTTAGCAGCTTCCTCAGCTGAACCTCTTTCACGTCCTCTGGCCTCAAATTTATGTTGTCAAGGACAGCTGGTCTCCTCTGATGTGTCAGTGCTGAGGACATGCGATGACGTTTCGTCATCTTCCAGGCACCATCTGCAAAGGGGATCATCTTTGATCCCAATGAGCTCTAGGTGCCTATTGAGGTGGTTGTGCCCCGTTAGGAGCCCCACTACCATTTGAAGGTCTCGCCTGTTGATGGATAAAACTTCTCTTGTGAGCCTCTTCGAAGGATCCTTCATGTGGAGCATCACTTGTCTCCTGTCCTGCCACATTCTGAGGAATTGCTTTTGTAGCTGTCCCTTTATGGAGGACATTGCCAGACTGTTTGGTATTCCCAAGATTGGTTCCGGTCCGACCGGGGTCCGTGCTGAACCGATCTTGGACAGTCTGTTAGCCTCCTCGTTTCAGGGTATCCCCGAGTGTCCCGGGACCCACATGAGGCTGACTTTTCTTGAATTTGCCAGGTTTTTCAAGGTCTTTCTGCACTCGGACACCAAATTGATTGTGATCCTATTGGATTGCAAAGCCAGTATTGCAGCTTTGCTGTCCGAGCATATAGTGATTGGTCTACGACCTCTCATGATCAGGTTTCCTTGGTCACAGGTAAGAATTGCGAGTACTTCAGCCTGGAACATTGAGGCATATTCGCCCAACGGAACCAAGATTTCTATTCTTGTTCCTTCATTGTATACCCCTGCACCCGAACTGCCTGCAAATAGGGCTGAAAATATTTTAGAACGATGTCCCCCTCGAAAATGTAGTTGACGTGTTTCAGATTTTTGAACTTGAAGCTGATTAATAGGACTGAAAAATTTAAAAAGGAATTCAAGAAACATCTACTCCTGTAATATTGACATCTTGTCTCATATTTATAGTTCTCTTGTACAACAACTATAGTTTTCCATTGGGTACCTGACAGCTGATAGTCAATTGAGAATCATTTTCAGTTGAACTTAAAAAAAAGATTTCTTCTTGAGTGTAAGTCCTCCTTCTTCATTTCATTTTGTCAAATATATTTTTTTATATAAGTATTCACGATGTTCCCTGCTTTGAATGAATGTTGTTTCTTGGGAATAATAAAGTTGATTTATTCTATCATTCAATCAATTTCAATCAATTTATTCTATTCCATGAAAATCGTCTATTTTTGTGGAGTATGATTTTTAAAAGAGTGTTTTGGGTGATTTGTAGATTATGTAAGGTTGTTGTGAAGGTGCCTCCCGAGATGGTAATGCAGTACCTTAATGTTGATTCGATTAGTGAATTATACAGCTTCATCAGATTTTTTCGCGATAAGATATCTCTCAAGTTTCCTTATACGTTTGACAAGATAGGTAATATGATCATTCCACCTAGTATGCTGATCAATCATAATGCCTAAATATTTTATATTTGCAGTATTCTGTAGTGTGGTGTACCCACAGTCATTGTCGTTATCTTTATCACACTGATGGGAATGTAAATTATTATACATTTTTGGTTAGTCTACTGCAGTCGGGGAAAATGTAATTTATTTTGTTTTCACAATGTTTAAACTGAGTAGATTGTAGTTCAACCATTTTTCAATATATTTCAAGCTTGTCTCAGTTTTTGTGTGAACTTCTTCCCAACTTTTACCAGTAATCACGAGGGCAGTATCATCAGCATAGCAAACTAATTGACCTTCCAAGTTATGTATTCTAGAAATACTATTGATGTATATGAGGAAGAATATCGGACCCAGCACTGTTCCTTGAGGCACACCTACTTTGACTATACAGTGTCATTCATAAAGTCAGCATCATATGGGGAACACTTTTATTAATGACTTATTTCGAAATTCGAGTTGGACGTCAAGTTTTGCTTCAAAAAAGATGAAAAATGGCCTACTCAATCGGGGTCACGTGACTTTCGCTACATGTAAAAAGTGACATTTTTTCAAATTATTCGCTGAAAGTAGGCTTATTTGTTCGAATATCGAAAAATTTTACTTGAAAAAGTTGTTTCTATTTCAATTTTACATATGTGACTCGAATTTTATCTTTCTATAACATTTTTTAGATTTCGATATTTTTTAAAAAATTTCGAAATTTCTGTAATATTAGAAAAATTGTAAATTCGATAAAACTACTTCATACCAAAAGCTCCATCATGCTACTAACTTTCAATTACTAATTATCACTAATTATCGACAAAAATATGATTTTCTTCAGAAAATGATAATCTCCGCTTCAAAATTCTGTTATGTTTGATGCAAACATAACATCAAAATGCTGTTATGTTTGAGTCATGCATTTAGAAACGAAATTCATTTGAATTTATTTTTTCAATACTGAAAAGATCAGTTTAAATGAAGTTTCTAAATGCTTGACGATATATCAACTTTGCATCAAACATAACAGAATTTGGAAGCGGGTATTATCATTTTCTGAAGAAAATCATATTTCTGTCCATAATCAGTGATAATAAGTAATTGAAAGTAAGTAGCATGAAAAAGCTACTGGTATGAAGTAGTTTCGTGAAATTGACAATTCTTCAAATATTACAGAAATTTTGAAAAATTGAAAAAAAATGAAAATCTAAAAGTTGCAATAGAAGAATAAAATTCGAGATGCATGTGTAAAATTGAAATAGAAACAACTTATTTAAGTAAACTTTTTCGATATTCGAACAAATAAGCCTACTTTCAGCGATCAATTTGAAAAAATGTCACTTTTGACATGTTGCGAAAGTCACGTGATCCCGATTGAGTAGGCCATTTTTTATCTTTTTTGAAGCAAAACTCAACGTCCAACTCGAATTCCAAAATAAGACATTAATAAAAGTTTTTCCCATATGATGCCGACTTTATGAATGACACTGTACATAGATTCAGAACTCAATTCATTTCCTATTTTTCAGTAGTCAGTATTCTATTTGGCAGATAATCTTTGAAAAGGTCAAGTGCCAAACCACGGATACCATAGTCATTCATTTTGTCAATTAATTTGCTATGGGAAACCGTGTCGAAAGCCTTCGCGAGGTCAAGAAAGACTGCTAGGCATTTATTTGATTGATTGATTTCCTAAAATATCACAAAGAATCACCCCTTGGATTTTTTCGGTGTTATTTGGATTAACAACAAATTCGGGTGGTATAGTTTATGCAAAGTCCGTCGGTCCCTATGAAAGTTCAAATAGTGCGGCAGCGCGTCCCAACATTCGTTTGATGATCTGTTCAAATGACTGCATATACTATAAACTTGTTTCTTAGGGATTTTTCAGGTCCGCTCACCAAAATGAACACTGGACTGATGTACTTCCAGCATATCCTCCAGAACAGTCCGGGCCTGTGGCCAATCATTTTTTCGATGTCCCTGGAAAAATTGTCGGTGCCGTATATCCAACAAACTCCCGCCGCTTCTACGAACACCACGAACAGAATGGCCAAGCCCGGACCGTATATGTTCAGCATATTCACTAAGTAGACTCCACCCTGTAAACAGAAAGATTTATTGGAGTAGTTGGACGGGAGGTTTTTATTTATCTATTTATTTATTTTGACGGTTACACCATTTTTATAAAATAATAACAGAAGATTAACGAAAATTACACTCATAATAATGATAATAATGAAGTTTATCCAAAATGTTGTATATGGTTGTATATATAGATGTATAGATGTCGGCGTCAAACAGTGAAATCCGTCATTCTCTGGAATGTCGGCGGTATTGCCGGCAAACAGCGTAACTCTAAATTTCGTACACCGTTTGCCTGATAGTTTCAGGCATTCCTTGTAATGACGGAAGAAAGGTCAGCTTAGGTTGTTTAGAAGCAGTAGTCTCTTCCGTTTTCTCAAGTTATTTTCTGAAAAATATACTTTCTAGGAAGAAGGTTCATTTAGACGGAGTTTGGCTATGTTTTTTTTTCCTGAAAATAGTCTCCTTTCTTATGCATAAGCAGAAAGGATAGGCAAACAGAAACACGGCTGAAAATGGAAGTTACGCTGTTACGCTGTTTGCCGACAATACGTGAAATGACTAGGCATATCAGGAAAAGACGGATTTCACTAATTGACGCCGACATACAGTGTGTCCCACTTACCATGCTCACCATGGGTATCTTTTTAACGGTGAGAGATACGAGGTCGGTTAAATGACACCAAATGTGGAGTTTGTCAAGGCCAACTATAATGTGAAAAAATATTTCGATAAAATCTATTCGTTTTTGTTTTATACGCAAAAAACAGATTTTGATCATTTTTATGTCTCCTCCGTAACTTCTTTATTTATGAAAATATTCAAAAAGGAATTTCACATTCTCATGGCCGTTTTTCGAAATGATTTCGAAAAGAATATGAAATTTATAACAACTCTTCTAATATTTGAGATATCCGCACCAACTTTAGTTTTTCAAATGTAGGTCATAGCTCACTATGACTTAGTTACAAATAACTTTTTTTCTCTTACAGATGATATGTCGCAGTAATAGTTTTGTGTTGATAACAACGGAGTTATCGTCATTTATACAAAAACAAGAAATTATTTGGATGCCGCCATCTTGAATTTATAAATTATAATAAAAAAATCATGATCTCCGACCTCAAAAACCCCCACTTACCAATTTTGAATGGAATCGGACCAAATCTTGTCCGCCATCTTGTACTAGCCATTTTTTTCAATTTCAACAAAAATTCTATAATGAATTGTCACCGAAATTATGAACACCTGCCGAATTTCAAGTTAATCGAAGTTATGGAATTTCCGCTGAAATTAAAAAAAATGGCTGCTCCAAGATGGCGGACAAGATTTGGTCTGATTACATTCAAAATTGGTCAGTGGGGGTTTTTGAGGTCGAAGATCATGATTTTTTTGTTAAAATTTATGAATTCAGGATAACGGCATCCAAATCATTTTTGTTTTTGTATAAATGACGGTAACTCCGTTGTTGTGTTGATCAACACAAAACTATTACTGCGACATACCATCTGTAAGAGAAAAAAAAGTTATATGTAACTAAGTCATAGTGAGCTATGACCTACATTTGAAAAACTAAAGTTGGTGCTGATATCTCAAATTCTAGAAGAGTTGGTATAAATTTCATATTTTTTTCGAAAACATTCTGAAAAACTGCCATGAGAATGTGAAATTCCTATTTGAATATTTTCATAAATAAAGAAGTTACGGAGGAGACATGAAAATGATCAAAATCTGTTTTTTTGCGTATAAAACAAAAACGAATAGATTTTATCAAAATATTTATCCACATTATAGTTGGCCTTGACAAACTCCCTCGTATCTCTCACCGTTAAAAAGATACCCATGGTGAGCATGGTAAGTGGGACACACTGTAGATATTGGTTTTGAATGAACAAAGAAAACTTTACGAAGTATAACTTGTTGTAAGGTATACAAAATGAAAATGATGGTTATTAAATCAATTGATTAATTCGAGACAGAAGTAGGGTATAAATAAAAATGTATTGTTTTTCGTTCAATCATTGGGTGTAAGTACAATTCAGTACTGTTTCAAATTTCGTATAAACAGATATTAAATATTAACCAGAGAAGCAAATGAACTCCCTGAAGAGATAATAACCGTCATACATGTGAATTGCTATAGTTATTCGTCGACGTACAATGCTAGAAACCCAAACAGCTATGATTATTGGGACAAACATTAACTGAATTCACCAATAAGCATAATTCACAAAACGATCTATGTCAATAAAAAATCTAAATAGACTAGAATTTATAAAATTCTCATAATATCATAACACACCTGCGTTAGGATGGTAGCAAATGTCCATTCAAGGGTATAACAAATGTTTTGAGAAAGTGATTTTTATAATTACAGAATGGAGAGAATACGGTTGTAATAAATTAATGTGAAAAGCTCACAGTCATTTCCATGCTACTGTTAATAATGAAATGATCAGGAATAGGAGATTCCTTCATAATGGTTATTACAATCAGAGCTGGTAGATATTTTCAATATCCAGTTTCTCTCAGTGCAGGAAGAAGACACTCACATAAGTAGTCGTCGGCAAGGCACAAATGTATATCCCCAGCAACAGGAAAGCCACGAACGTCTCCCGATGTCTGCCGAGCGCCTTCGGATACTCGTCGCACAGCGCCGTAATCATGGCCTCCAGGCCGCCGAAGGTGCTGTCCAGGCCCAGGGTGATCAGCATAAGGAAGAAGATGATGGACCAGAACACCGAGCCGCTCATCATCGCTATGGCCTCGGGGTACACGATGAACACCAGGCCAGGGCCTGAAAAAATGCCATCGATATCACCGTGTAATCACCATATGATCACCGTATAATCACCATGTAATCACCGTGTAATCACCGGGTAATCACCGTGTGATACCATATTATCACCATGTAATCAGAACGAAACGACAATGTAGTCATTGTGTGAATTGTTTCAATTCATGATGTTTCATCATACTTTGGTATTCTCTTGGTTCTGAATCTGGGGACAACAACTGAAATATTCATTCAATACAGAAACCATCAGAAATCTGCATAATTCCGAATCGATATGATCAAGGAAGTGACCATATCATGATATCACCGTGAAATCACCATGTAATCACCGTGTAATCACCGGGTAATCACCGTGTAATCACCGTGTAATCACCGTGTGATACCATATTAACAAATCAGAATTAAACGACAATGTAGTCAATGTATAACCGTGGATCGTTTCAATTCATGTTGTTTCATCATACTTTGGTATTCTCTTTGTTCGGAATCTGGAAACAACAACTGAAATATTCATTCAATACAGAAACCATCAGAAATCTGCATAATTTCGAATCGATATGATCAAGGGAGTGACCACTTCATGAAATCACCGTGAAATCACCATGTAATCACCGTGTTATCACCGGGTAATCACCGTGTAATCACCGTGTGATACCATATTAACACCATGTAATCAGAACGAAACGACAATGTAGTCAATGTTTAACCGTGGATCGTTTTAATTCATGTTGTTTCATCATACTTTGGTATTCTCTTGGTTCGGAATCTGGAAACAACAACTGAAATATTCATTCAATACAGAAAACATCAGGAATCTGCATAATTTCACCTATAGGACACAACATTCTGACCAATGTTTTAACACAAAATTAATGCATATGACACAACTCTTCTTACTGCGTTATCTTCCAGAATTCCAATTCCATGCCAGGAACTAAGAACTATAGACGGATACAGGTCAACGCTGATGATGAAGATCTTTCGAAAATTACAGCCTTGGGAATCAACAACCCAGTTGAATTCAACGCAACCAACACTCAAGATATCACAGGGTCTGTCACCACTATTTCCACAAAGTCTACAATAGGTATGATTGGTATTACCATCAGCAATTCTCTTCCATGGAATAATCATGTCAGTTCCATCGCGAAATCTGTTTTACAAGAATTTGTACACCTTAACAGCTTCTCATATCTACAAGGCACAAATACCGATTGTTCTAGAATACTATTCCCACATATATTGGGTTCAGCACCCAAACATACGATGATGCTCTTAAATTGTTGGTGATGCCATACTCACTGATTCCTTGACATCATTGGAACACTGTAGAAAAGTCGGAGATTTTTCATTTTTCCACCGGAAATATTTTTCAGAAATCTCTGCTATCATTCCATATCTAGATATACCAGTTAGATGTACTCGACAAGTGCCTCGTCAGTAAATCCTCTCGTCGTCAATCTCGAAATGAGTCGAACAACTCTTTACCAGGACTCGTTGGTCTATACAGGCTGATTCACGGTGGATGGCACATTAGACGTTTCTGGTGAACCAGACAACGGATCATTTTGAAAATTCAATGGAGGGCATATTCGGACATTCTCTAGCCAACTAAAATATTTTCGACAATGCGGTGTTGCCGCTTCTATTAGAAAGCAGTAGCAACTTTGATTTTTCAAATGGAACACTCTGTATTTTATTGCATTTTTAGATTCTCCCTGAAGAGCTGATTTCATCGATGTAGCACACTTGGGGTCTAGCGGAAATGATTACAGAGATATAGGGTGTGAAAAATCGACATTTTTTCAACTTTAGGATTTTTTTGTGTCGAAACTATTCATCATTGGTCAAAACGGCTCACATGTCCCTATCTCAACTTTTGATTAACTATCTACTGATATTAAATTGGGACATATACCGGGTGATCAAGATTCTGAATTCTGCACCACCCTGTATTTGTTTCAATTTAATGTTTGTAGATAGTTGATCAAAAGTTGAGATAGGGACATGTGAGCCGTTTTGACCAATAATGAATAGTTTCGCCAAAAAAAATTCCTAAAGTTGAAAAATGTCGATTTTTCACACCCTATATCTCTGTAATCATTCCCGCTAAACTCCAAGTGTGATACATCAATGAAATCCAGGGAAAATCTAAAAATGCAATAAAATACAGAGTGTTCCATTTGAAAAATCAAAGTTGCTACTGCTTTCTAATAGAAGCGGCAACACCGCATTGTCGAAAATATTTTAGTTGGCTAGAAAATGTCCGAATATGCCCTCCATTGAATTTTCAAAATGATCCGTTGTCTGGTTCACCAGAAACGTCTAATGTGCCATCCACCGTGAATCAGCCTGTATAACAGCGAATTTTTTGATTTTTTTGCCAAAGGAAATAGCTCCAAGAACATATCTCCAAAGGTTAAAAAAATCCAATACCTAGCCTCTCTACCTATATCCCCCCCAGGAACACATGATGTTCTTCGAACTTAATAGGGACTACCTTCCCTGCGTCCTAATAAGAAACACTGAAATTAACAGTATTTCCGGTAGGCAAAATCGAGGGTTCCTCTCCTTATGTACTACTAGAACAGGCTTGATGTAATCACTATGTAATCATCATATGATCATCTCAAAACCCATGTAATCACTATGTAATCACTGTGTAATCACTGTGTGATCACTGTGTAATCACTAAGTAATAATTGTGTAATCACTATGTAATCGCCATGTTATCGCTATGCAATCACCATGTAACAAAGTAGTACGTCAAACGAATGTATATTGTTACTTACCCTCCAAACCGACTTCTTCTATGCTCTTGTGCTGTACGTGGGCCATGTAGCCCAGAACGGAGAATATGACGAAGCCCGCCAGAAAGCTGGTCAGACAATTGATGCTACTAGTGAGAATGGCGTCCCTGTAGCAGTTGTTGTTGAACTTGTTGTAGCTAGATAGAGCCAGAAGGGTGCCGAAACCTGGGCCCAATGAGAAGAAAATTTGCGAGGCAGCGTCTATCCAGACCTGTGAATTTGACAGATTTATGGGATATTGCAATGATGTCCACATTAGATAGATTTTTAGTCAAAGAAAAACGTCAAAATTAGGCTAAAGTACATAAATAAATATCGTAGGTACATAAATAAATATCGTAGGTATAAAACAAACATAATAATATACAAGATTTCACAGGTACATAACCATAAAAAGTATATACACGTCTACTCGAACATTATTCATCAGTTAGCGATGATTGGATATCACAGAAGAATTCATCCAAGGTGTTATAAGATTTCTTCAGAAGCAATTTTTCCATTTCATTCTTGAATTGGAATTTATTTTTCGATTCTTGTATAGATTTTGGGAAGCAATTGTATAATTCACATCCATTGTAGTATAAGCTTTCCTGATACCGAGCAGATGAGTGTTGAGGAGGTAACAGATAATCTTTGTTCCTTGTATTGTAATTATGTTCAACTTTTTCGGTCTCAAAATAACGTTCATGATTATATACAAAACAGGTCACTTCATAAATATAAAGGGAAATCATCGTGAATATACCCAGAATTTTGGAATATTCCCTGCATGAATCTCTTGCTCTCAGATTTCCCAAGATAAGGACTGCAATTTTTTGTAAGGTAAAGGCATTATGAGCTTCTGCGGAATTTGCCCAATGTGTGATTCCATATTTTAGATTGGAGTGAAAGCACCCGAAATACAATTGTTTCAGTATTTCTTTGCTACATTGTTGTGATGAAATGAAAAGGGCATAATATAGCATATTTTAGCTAGCTTCGAACACAAACTATCTACATGGCCATACCACTCCAGGTTACTTTCTAAAATAACACCAAGCAATTCAGTATATAGAGCGCAGGTGATTTCTGTATCATTCAGAGTCATATTGTGTTCAGGATATTCTGAACCGGAAGATTTGAAAATAACACAGGTCGATTTATCATTATTCAGACAAAGCTTGTTCACATCAACCCACTTGCAAACATTCATGTAATTTAGTTCGGCCTGTTTTTTGTTTTGGCATTATAAACAGTGTCTGAAGTGAACAGAATGTGTGTATCATCAGCATAAGCTATTACTTGAGTAGAGTACGGTCTCATTGATTAAATCGAATCATTGATATATATAATAAAGAGTGTTGGACCAAGAATGGATCCTTGTGGCACATCTATATTTACAGATTTCAAATCAGAAATATAGTTGTTACATTTAAAACCTGCTGTTGTCTATCAGTCAGATATGATGCAAATCATTGGAGAGTAACTCCACGAATTCCATCTCTTCAATTCATACAGAAGAATATCATGCTGAAGACAGTCGAATGCCTTGGATAAATCTATAAATAACCCCACTGCCACTTGTTTATCATCGAGAGCTTTATATATTTCATTTTAAAATTGCAATGTGATGTCCACATCATATTCTATGTTCCTTGATTTTCCACATGATTCACCTAAGATGTGTTTTCACATATCGAACCATGTACAGATATAATGTGAAATTTTTTAAAAGTACACGACTTAACGTTGGTCATGTGTATTGAGTGTGATTGTTATAATTGTCGATTAATCATATTGTCTATACCTTGGAGTTGTAGAGTTTGTCCCACTCCGGGGTGAGATAATATCGAATGCCTTCGGCTGCTCCGGGAAGGGTGACCCCTCTGAAAAGCAGGATGATCAGGACGACATAGGGAGCGAGAGCTGTTATCCACACCGCCTGAAAACAAGGAAATCATCATACAACATAGAGTCACTGGATAGTATTAGTTTGATCAAACAAATACCATCCAGTGGCTCTAATACAACACACGTTCATATATCTGATGTGCAACTGCACGTCAATTAATATGAAAATTTCACACAATTTTTCGACCAATTATTGGAAGCCTGTATTTCATATCGTTACCATAGCAACAAAACAAAATGTTTGGTAATGTTTCCCTCCTCCTTGATGGAAGGAGCACGAAACTATTCTTGACCTTCTTTGACGTTAATAGGTGAAATGACATTTTGCAAGGAACCCAATAAAATAGGATATACGAAGCAAGTTGATTAGTTTTTGATGAATCCTGCGAAAATTTTTATTCATTGCCAATCAGGGTTCCCTTTAGTAATTCTGTCAAAAGACATTCTCTCACGAATTTTAAATGAATAAGTACATCTTATATAGGGAATGGCACTTTTTTCAAATATGTACCGAAGTTTATTGGAAAAGAAGCTCCCACGAACATATCTTCAGATGAAATGTTCATATCGACCTCACTGTAAATCACAATTTCTTTGTATATTCGATTGGGAGAAAAATGCGAAGCCATGGCTATAACTTTTGCAAGTACAATAGATTTAATATCGTATGAAGGATTTTATAAGTGCATTACGGTTCTATCTATTGTATCTAAAATGTTAGCAGACTCAATAACATGACATTTATTACCCATTACAAGTTTCACACCCTTATAAAAAAATGTTGATACATTGGAATTTTCTATTATCCACATATAAAATAAAAGTAACTTCTTGATACTTTCGAACATTTATTCATGATTGAAATAGTGAATGGTCTACACAGTCTACAGCTTCATCATCGATATTAGTAGTGTTAGATATTTTTTGAGTGTTAGTTTCCCTAGTAGCACACTGAAGTAACATGGATTTCCATAGGACGATCCGCCGGGACATTCTGGACGTCCATAGTACATGCGTTCTCGGTATCACAGACTTCCATAGTACGTCCGTGGGTAGTACAAATGTCCAGACTTCTCACCAATGATATACATTGGACCTCTTTGGGAAATCATCCAATGGACGTCCTTTGAAAAAGTTCATGAAACATTCTACTCTTGTACCAAAGTCATCCATAGGACATCCTCCGAAACGTCCTCTGGAATCTCCATAGGACGTCCACTGGAATGTCCATAAGACGTCCTCTGGAACGATCATAGGACGTCGTCTGGAATGCCCATAGAATGTCCCAGGGACTTACGGATCATTCTTGAATTTGAATTTATTTGGGTCTCCCTAGGACCAGATTTTGCATAACTGATGAGAACATCCATTTGAGTTGATGATCCGTAGAAGGTGCCAAATAAATCCTGAAGAAGGTTTCCATGGACTTACGCAAAGGACATTGAGGGAGAGTATTCAAAGCCTACGAGCAGTCGATCGTCGACGAGGTGTAAGTTAACGTCCTCGCAGGGAAAACACATTCAACGTACCGAGTGGGACGTCCGTGGGACGTTATTTCTGGGACATTGAAATGAAAAAGGATCATTCGCTCTTGTGAAGGACTTTTATAAAGGATGTCTGGGATATTTCATGGTTGTTCTTGAAGAGACATTATATAAGATCTGATGTCATGGCAGGAAATTGACTACTTGGGACATCCAATGGATGTCCCGAAACGGACTTTCAAACTTATATCCAATCAGGGACATGCTAAGGACGTCCTCTCATGGACATTCTACAATATGTACCACGTGATACGTCTGAAGGATGCTATTTCTGAAGCCTTTGAAATGATGTACCAGCTGGGACATTCCATGAACGTCCTTGCTCGAACATTGCATGAGATGTACGGGAAGTGACATACCAGGACACTTTTTTCAGGTCCAGCACATTCGAACCTGAATTGTACCAAATAGGGACGTCCCTAGGACGTTGCGTGCTATTAGGGTTTGTAGTGAGTCTGGGTTAGCTTAACTCTTAGGAGCATTGACTGAAGTTGATAATAGCAAATCTACTTACCTTGCCTGTACTCCTCACTCCTTTCCATAAAGAAAAATAAACCAGGACAAACACAGCAAAAACACAAACTGCCAAAGCTGGTTTCACAGGACCCATTCTGTTCAGACCATCTGATTTGTATTGCTCCAAAACTTCTCTCCTGTGGAGAAAATAAAAAAATATAATCAAAAGAAAAACTGAAAGTCTCACTCCAAGTACATTTTAATGAATTTGCTACATGTTTTGTCTCCTAGGAGTCATTATCAGACTGAAAAAAAAATTATAGTCACTAGAAGTTCTATAAAAATTGAAATAAGGTTGGTGACGTAATCATGGAGCAAGTTCAAAAATCAATCAGCATTATCTCTTTAGTCGTTTTAGAAAACCCCATCAAATTTGGTATCGTTGGATTTGTAATCATAATCACTAACCGATCCTGAGATAAAATACAGGATGTTCCATTTGAAAATCGAGAGTTGATGCCTGTTCCGCTTGAAGGTTTCATCTTTGGAATATCACAATTACAGAAAAATGTGTCCCATGCCAAATTGAAATCGACCTGACCTGTCCAAGTGATGTTCAATTTTTGAAGTGAATACTTCTTTAGGAGCCTTCAGCACTTTTTTTGGATGATGAAAAACATTGGATTTCGCGAAATCGTCACGTCACCAAAGTCAATGAATAGTAGAAAATCTGAAGGGTATCTTCAATTAGTAGGAGAGCTGGCGGCAGATTTCTACCTTGATCCGATTCTATTCAAAATTGGTATATAGAGGGTTTTGGGGTCAGAGATTATGATTCCTCCATCTGGATTAGGAAATTCAAGATGGATCCAAAATGGCAGACAGGTATTGTAATTATGAACCGACTCCATGATTCCATCTTCAAAATTTGAAAAATTAAGGTGGCGGAACCAATATGGCGGAGGAGTTTCGTAATCATGATCCGATTTCATTCACAATCGGTATCTTTGGATTCTTGGAGTCAGAGATAATAATTCTTTCGTCAAACTTTGTAAAATCAAGATGACAAATACAATATTGCGAACGAGTTTTATAATTATGATCCGATTAGTATATGGAGGTTTTGGCGGTTGCAGATTATGATTGTTCTGTCGAAATTAGGAAATTCAGGATGACGGATTCAATATGGCTGATTTAAGATGTCGAAGAGTTTCGTAATCATGCTCCGATTCTATTCAAAATTTGTATCTGAGTGTTTTTGGGGTCTGAGATTATGTTTCCATCGTCAAAATTGAGAAATTAAACATTGCAAATCCAATATGACGGACGAGTTTGTGAATTATCCGATTCTATTCAAAATTTTTATCTGGGGTTTCCAGGGTCCGAGGTTATGAATTCTTCAAAATTTGGAGATTCAAGTGAACTGAAAAGGAGTAGATAGATAATAATCTGATAGCTTGACGATACAATTCACGAGTTATATACTTAGTTTTCACTTCTATTAGTAGTTCCCAAATACTGCCCCCGCACTTTTTTTAAAGACATCGGAGCTCAGGGGGGATGGAACGTTCCATCTGAGACATAATAGATTTCGAGGATCTTACTCGAAAAACTCCCTTGCTGGACTGGAAGCTGACGTGTTCGGAAGATACTCGACCACCGGTCTACAATGAGGCGTATTCCATTCGTTCCTGCAAGACGTCCAAGGAAGCTCAGACTGAAAAGATGCTATGAGGTAGTACAAGGCCCATCCGATGATCGTGTTATAGTACATGCCCATGTAGATGTCGATGAGACAGATGGCGTATCCCACACCTGAAAAAAAACGAATATCGAGACGGCAATACGTGTTCATGATATCCAAAATATGTACAGGGTGTCCGCTAAAAGGAGGTCAATCCATTAACCATATATTCCTTGAACAAAAATAATATGAGTTTCTAGATACCATTTTTCATTTTAGCCCTTCTTATTCGATATACAGGGTGTCAAAGTTGGAAATTGAAAACTGTTTTTTTCTAATTACTCGCGTAATTAATAAGATATTAATCTCAAAATTGGTACATTACTTCAGCACAAAAAGTTACATCGTGTGAGGAAAACAAAACAGAAAATAACTGTGTACAAAAAAAATATGGGGGTAAGTGTGTACTTGACCCTCAGTATTTTGAATATTTGACAGTTATTTTCTGTTATGTTTTCCTCACACGATGTAACTCTTTGTGCTGAAGTAATTTACCAATTTTGAGATTAATATTTTATCAAATACGCGAGTAATTAGAAAAAAAAACAGTTTTTAAATTCAAACTTTGACACCCTGTATATCGAATATGAAGGGCAAAAATGAAAAATGGTATTTAGAAACTCATATTGTTTTTGTTCAAGGAGTATGTGGTTAATGGATTGACCTCCTTTTAGCGGACACCCTGTATAAAATTCCCAACCCCTGTGATTCTTTCATTTGTAACAGTAGAAAAAAGTCGACATTTGAAGATTTGCTGATGATAAATGAATACATCAGAGGAAGTAAACGACCCATTCAAGAATGTTCAATATATTGTAGTCAATATTCACATTTGGTTTTAAATATATACTGGGAGAGTCAGTTTTTCGTAACAAGACTTCATCACCCTGAAGAACACATATTTCCAATATAAAAAGTGTATGTGAACATTAACTACAAGGTGTTTTTGAAATAAGTACATATAATCAGCACATCGATATACAGTCTAATGATTATTCCCATGATATCAGATTTGTCCTAATTCTCCTAATCAACAAGAAATTTCATTCCGAAAATTGAACAGAAAACGATAAAAAAATCAAAGTACGCCTCTTTAATACAATTTGAATGATTGAATTCCGCGTGATTGTGCCTTCCGCACGAAATTTGAACATAGTTGACGTCAGAATTGCTACTGTGTGGAGGTGGAAAAAGGGGTCTAACCTCAAATTTCATTTCGATCCCTATATTTTTTTATTGATACCACTCCATAGTATCTTACGTCGAGCTTACTCGAGGCTTGAAATATTTGCACTTATTTCAATGCCACCCTGTATATGCGTGAGATTTTTTCAATGTTCTGCGAGTATCCTCCTACAATTTTCGAAATACTGAATCGAAATTTGATATAACTATTACACTTGAAGAAATCAATATTTGGGGCTATTAGGCGATTTTGATTAACTACAGGGTGATACAATTCAACGTTCTTAATTTTTTTCCTTGCTACCTCTGCTTTCAATGAAACGTCAATTCAGATTCTCTGTTCTCTTGGCATACTATTTGCTCTCCCATAATATGTTCTTCGAAAACTCTATGGATGTCGAGATTTTTCGAACACATTTCTCAATAATTGACTAGAAGACCTGGAATGATCAAAACAATGAAAATCATTGGCAAAACTTGAATATAAAAATATCACATCCCCTGTATATCGGAAAAAGGGCTCCTATACATATTTGTTCACATGAGCTTCTCATCTTGAAATAGTATTTTGTTCAAGCTGTTGAAGTCCTGCTATATAAAACTGACCCACCCTATACCGGGTGTCCCAAGTTATCGTATGCACGCAATATCTCGTTCATTTGACAAGATATTTGAAAAATTCAAAAACTGCATTCAATGACATTGAAGTACCTTCCTGATGAAATGAAAAGAATCTATTATATTGTACTGTTCTCTGGCAGCTGACCTAGACTTTCTATTTTCAAATGGCATCCCCTGTATATTGTCATTAGAACTTATGTGTCATTCAATTTGGGATGAACACAACGATATCGTATACTTGGTATTTTTTTATTGATAATAAAAAAATATCAACATTTTGTGACTCGTTTCAAATTACTTAATTATTCTTATTAGAATGAGAAATTGCCTCCGCTCATGTTTTTTGTTTCGGAACACTAGCATTTATGATAAGAGAGTCAGATGAAACTCCGTCGACCAATACATGGAGAGATCTGTTTGAGAGAAAACTAGCTAGCAGAGAACATAGCTGGGGAGGCAAGCTTTAAGATGGAAGCTTGGCGAGGAGTCCGTGGTGCCAGACTCGGTCGAATGCTTTGGAGATATCGAGTGCCACAGCTGAGGTTTCACTATATTTTTCAATAGATTGCTGACATATATGTGAGCCGTAAGCGAGCAGGTCACCAGTTGATCTCTGATGACGGAAGCCATATTGCCTATCGTTGATAATACCTGAATGTTCCAGGTATTTCATGAGCTCGATGTTGAAAGCTTTCTCCATGATCTTCGAAATAATAGATAGCAGTGCGATCGGTCTGTAGTTGCTAGGTAGGGTTGCTGGTTGTACTCTTGCAATTTTCCAGTTGGACGGGAATACCCCCAATTTGTAAGAGTAGTTAAACAACTTGCAGAAAACAGGTGTTAGTTTGGGAGCACATTTCTGGAGAACAATCGGTGAGATTCCGTCGGAGGCACAAGCTTTGTTGGTGTTGAGACCCAATGGAATCGTTCCTATAGTACGTTGGCAAATGGTGATCTAAGGCATATGATTGTCAATTGGCAGTATGTTTGGAGGTTATTTTCCCGATGAATCCAGAGGGGAATTTCTAGCAAATAAATTTGCAAAAATGGTGGCTTTCTCCTGGGCAGTTGTGGCTAGTGTTCCATCTTCCTTGGTAAGAGGAGGAAACGAGCTAGAAGTGGAGTTTCTTCCTACAGCTTTGGCAAAGGACCAAAATGAACGGGATCTGTCAGGACATTCAACACGTTTTGATCTTATTCAGGCATCATAAGCATCCTTTGATGATCGAATTGTCTCATTGCATATGCCTCTTGCCTCGACATATTCTGCTCTAGTCTCAGGGCCTGGATTTTTCTACCATCGATGGAATGCTGCCTGTTTGGAAGCGACAGCTCTAGAGCAGTTTCTACTGAACCAGGCCTGATCGAAATATGTTCTCCTTGCAGTGTTTGGTATGTAGGGTTGCATCCCCAACATGATGATTTCAGAAATTGTCTCAGCACATCGTGTTGGATCTGCTGAGGAAAAGCAAACTCTCTTCCATCGAAACGCTGAAAACAACATACGAAGACCTTTCCTATCGGCCGAATCGTAATGGCGCGTGAGACGGGTAGGAATTGTGGTGCTGGATGGTACATGGAAAGAGCAGGTTCGAGAAGAGGGTGTGGTCAGAGTTTCCAAGTGGGGCACGAACTTCTATTCTATATGGATCAGGATTGCTGGTGAGAAAAAGATCTAGTGTATTGGCAGACTGGTTGTTGACATACGGGTTGGTAGTTCGACTAGTTGTTCTAGACCATGAGTGATAGCAGTGGCCTCAGTTTGACGACCTGCATCATCTGTTTTGTTAGAGAATTTGAGCCAGGCTGCGTTGTGTACAGTGTGTCCAGTTTTCGATGCTTTTGCGTGATATCTCAGTTATCTTTCGAGATAGAACCTTGCGGTTTTCGCGGTCCTGTACCACTTTTCTGTGAAACTCAAGATGGCCTAATCAGATTTTGCATAACTGTTTGCGTTTATGAGATACAGGGTGAATTTGAAAATTTATACTTTTTGGACCCCCTCTATATCTACGAAGTTTCTCAGCGAAAATGTCAAATTGGAATCTTATCCCATACAGAATTTTGCGCAGAATTCAGTGGCGCACTCAAATTTTTTTTTCTGGGTATGGTTTCGGAGATACGACTCAAACTTATGATTTTTTAAATGGAACACCCTGTATTTTATAAGCTCATTAAATTCCTTATTTTTTTCCCATCAAAATGAAATATGATGAATAGGTATAAAATTTTCAAAAATGCTCCAAAATCACTAAAACATTGAATTTCAATTATGGGCTATGGATTTTTCATTTAAAAAAAGTTCCAATTGAAGGGATATTTCATTTGATTCTTCCATGAAAAGGACAAAAACAATCCCAACACTAGTTAATTAGGATAACACAGAAATTAGGTACCTGATAACAACAAATGAATGGTAATAAAAAGTTCATATTCTAGAATAAGCACCTGATTTAATATTCACTAAGACAATTAAATAGTAACTTATTCATTGAATTGTTCAAATTGATGTCCACTTTCCCTCACACGCTCTCTCAATACGTCTCAATGCATTCAAAATCATTAAAGGATGTCTTTGTAATTCCTGGAAAACTGCCTCTGTTGTTGCACGAAGTTCTTCAAGATATTTGTGACTCTTACTGTATCAAGACGTATTGAGAAACTGTGTCAATTGTGTGTTATGGGAAATGGACATCAATTTGAACAATTCAGTGAATAAGTTATTGAATAATTGCGAAATTCAATTGTATTTGTAAATATTTGATCTGGTGCTTATTCTACATTATGAACTTTTTATTACTATTTATTTGTTGCTATCAGGTACATAATTTTTGTGTTTTCTTAGTTAATTAGTGTTGGTATTGTTTTTGTCCTCTTTATGGAAAAATCAAAATGAATATTCCTTCAATTGGAACTTTTTTATAAGAAAAATCCATAGCCCACTATTAAAATTCAATGTTTCGGTGATTTCAGAGCATTTTTGAAAATTTCATATACATACATTATGAATCATTTTGAAGAGAAAAAAATGAGGAATTTTGTGAGCTTATGAAATACAGGGTGTTCCATTTAAAAAATCATAAGTTTGAGTCGTATCTCCAAAACCATACCCCAAAAAAAATTTTTGAGTGCGCCACTGGATTCTGCGTGAACTTTTATATGGGATGAGATTTTAATTTGACATTTTTGCTGAGAAACTTCGTAGATATAGAGGGGCTCCAAAAAGTATAAATTTTCAAAATCGCCCTGTATCTCATAAACGGAA